AAGGGCTTCTTGTTCTATAGAATCTAGAGCTTGAGGTTTATTAACTTTTGGCGGTGTACTTTCTTGGTTTTTTGTATTTCTGGTATCTTTTTTTTGATGTTTATTCATTGTGGCAGGGGGTTTCACAGTGCACAGGTTTGACCCTATTGACTGACTAAGGTGTGGCTGTGTTTGTCAATTTGGTATGGCTACCTCCGTGACTGCTCAGTTGGCCTCTAGTGTCTTGTGTGTGTGGTTGCCTCGGGTCTTGGGCCTCTCCGGGGAGCCATCTCTCTTGTCATCTTGGACTCTGCTGGGCTGCTGGATCACGGGACAGTACCACAGGGTGTGTGGTCTCTTTTGAGCTTCCACTTCCAGTGCAGAACTTCTCTCTGTTCCGTGCGCTCTGGCCCTGGCTGCTGGATCATGCAGTGGTGGCCTCACAGGGTGTGTGTTTTCTGCTGAGTCTCCGCCTCCCTATCCGGACGTCTCCCTGCTCTGTGCTCACTGTATTGGGCTGGGGTGTGTCTTCTGCAACCCTCGTCTATCAGCCGGGTCTTCAAGCCCCTGCTCAGCACCACCCCGCCCAGGAAGACTTTCAGGTTTCTGCTAGGCGCAGGCGGACCGGTCGCTCTGGGTGCCTTTGTAGCACTGAATAGGGCTTTCTCGGTACTTATCACCTTCCTCCTGGTACTGCGGTTATTTGTGTACTTGTCTTATCTCCCACACCAGGGCATGAGCTCCTTGGGGGAGGAGCCCGCAGCACACAGTTCCTCTTTGAATCCCCCCGCCGCGGACTGACTCCGGCACCTGCCCGCAGTCAGCTCTCCGGCAGGTTCAAGCAAGCTTGGGAGTGCTCCAACCACACTCTTCCTAACCAGAAATCGGTTAGGCGTTTTTCCGAACTTATGGCCGCAGAGATGGTATCTGCCTCCCGGTAACAGGAAGTTTACCGGGGGCCGGAGCCCAGGGTGCGGTGGAATGACAATTGGCCTGGCCCGCTCTTCCCTGTCCTCCCGATGCTGGCCAGGGGCTCCCCACGCCACCAGCCCCGCCAGAGAACTGCGGGGGGAGTGGGATGGGAGGCCGGCCTGCAGGCCCCGGGAGGCCCTGCACCGGGGCAAGTTAGTGGCAAGGCTCAGTGAGGAGCCGAGCCGGGTGAAGAGGGCAGGCCTGGCCGAGCCAACTGGCTCCGCTCCCACCCAAGAAAATGGAGGCAGCTCTGGGGCCGATGACTGGCCTGGTGTGGCAGGTGGAAGCCAGACGGGCGTCTGCCCCGCGAGCAGGGCCGGGCTGGGGGTCACTCACAGAGCTGGGTCGGCCGGGTGGCTCCCTCTCCATTGCCGCGTCGTCGCCATCCCCGTCTTTGGCCGCTTCCGCCTCGGGCTGCTCACTCGGTCCCGCGGCCCAGCTCGGGCGCTCTCAGGAATCTTCTTTTGTGGTGGCCCTAAACCTCAAATCTGTAGTTGCTTTTTTATAGCTGTAGATTAGTTGATCAAAGACTTATTCATTTTTTGTTGCTCTTGGAAATGCAAATAGCACTCTGGCAGCACAGCGCACACTTCTCAGGCTCACGCTGTCTTCTGGTGCCCCCGCTCCAGACCCGTTGCCATCTTGGATTCCCCTTTTTGATGCTGACACCTGTTTGATGCCACTCTGGCCCTGCATGTCCTGCACCCATGAAGCACTGATAAAGCCCACAGGTGCTCAGCAGGCCACTCAGGAGCTACAAGGCAGCCGAGCAGCCCTACCTGGCATCTTTCCCACAGAACAAGTGCACGTTGGTGTCTGCTGAGCTCCCTTTTTCACCCTGACTTTTGACCCTCTAACCACACCATCAGCAGGAAGGCTAGTGTGGAAGACAGAGCAGGACATATGAATGTTGTGTTCTCTGGCCCCTGGGATAGCTTTCCAGGGAGTAGTCTTGAAAGCTACAATGGCATCAAGATAAATTCCCACACAACTCCTAATAGTCAGTCCTTGGTATTTTATCTTTGAGGGGCACAAAGAATACGGAGATGGGGAGAAGGCAGAGGAGCCCCCAAATCTAGATGGGGAGTGGTAACTGGTGAGCAGAAAACAGGCCCAGTCAGTCCTCGGGGACTGAGGAAAGCAAGAGCCAGGGAGACACAGCTGTCTCAGCAGGAGGCCAAGAATGGAAGAGGAGAAAGTTGTGGAATGGCATTCTGTGATGTGGACATTTATATTTCTCTCTCTGTCCTGGTTCTGGAATACTGAAGGGTCAGAACTTACCTAATTGGAAATGATATGCTGAAACAAAGAAGGAAGCAAGCAATATATATTTCCAATATAGTAGGAAAAAATATGCCATAGCAAATTTTTCTTAAATTGTGGGAAGAAAGAAAAACAAAAAATAAAGCAAGTTTCCAAAATGAGAAGTAATTTTTTCCTACAGGCACAAACAGAAATGGAGGAGAGGGTTCCAATATTACATAGAGACACAATTTTTTTTTTCAATTGCTAAACTTAGAGGAAATCTAAAAGTTAAATACATTTCTAGATAACCAAGAGAAGCTTTTCCATGCAAGGTAGAGTTAAATGAGGTGTGTGTACAAACACCTGCCAAAGGGTTTCATGGTGCATAAGTTATTTTTCAAAATCACTTCTTATTAGAAGACAGAATAGCCAGAGGGTAGTGACTGAGAGGGCAGATTGAGGTTTCTTGGCTGCTCTGATGTTGTTTCTGCATCTGAGTTCTGGTTATACAGATGTGCTCAGTGTGTGAAAATTCATACAGCCGTACCCTTACAACTTGCACATTTTCTATATGTATGTTGCACTTTAACAAAAAGTTAAAAAGTCAGCCACTTTAGAGTGCAGCACACATACCAGACAGTTAAGACATAGAGACTGAGGGCCATGCAAAGGAGGCAAGCCTGTCCCTAGGACAAGGACAGCCTGGCAAAGGCCTAGACAGAAAACAAATCACTTTACTGAAAAGGTAGAGTAGTTATTTTATGGGAGTTTCAACAACTTATAGGACAAGGCTACTTTAGTGATAGTACGTAGAGAGCAAAAGGCAAATATATGTTTTTATAAAGACAAGGGTTAATACATACAGAAACACAGGGAAGGAACTCTCGCTCTTTATTCCCGTAAAATGCTTCCATCCTTCCTTCAAACAATTCAATATAGTTACAAACAACCAAATGCAGAACCACTCTTTTTAATTTACTCTAAAATGTAAGCATTTTACTGAATGCCACATTTCTAAAGGTAACTCAGCAACCTTTTCTGAAATGCTAGTTTAGCAAGTGTTCAGCAGCAAAAACAACAAAATAGCATCACAAACATGTGCCGCGGGATGAAAGCGGCCATGCTCCTGGTAACACACAGGTCTTGGGGCTTCCTCACCAGGGTTTCCCCCATCGACATGTGGAAGTTCCCGGGGTCCTTGGCTTGGGTTAGGGGGATAAAGAAAGGATGTGCACCAGCCTTGTATGTCATCTTCAAAAAATATGTGCTTCAACGGTAAATAATTCCTCCGAATGTGACTGAAGCGCAAGCTATATCTAACCTGTGAAGAATAAAGAGAAAAATTCAGTGATGAGATCCTGAAACTCAGCAAAGGCACAGGACAGAGCAAAGCTGTGCTTGATGTCAGCCATGACTGGAGGAAAGGTGCCCACCCCGGCAGATGTCCCTCCTGGAAATAGGAGTCTTCCCTACATTCTCTACAAATTATCCCTGGGACTGTCCTGGGAAATAGACAAAGAGCGACTGAACCACCTTCCAGAAGGGGGTGCTGCAGAACAATTCAGAGAGAGGGCTCTGGAGCCAGACCACCTGGGACCAAACCCAAAATCTATTGAATAGCCATAGCACCTTGGGCAAGTTACTTAATCTTCATGCCTCAGTTTCCTCATCAGTAAATTGAGGATGATATTAATATTACCTACCTCATAGGGGATGTGACTGGGGATGTGCCTGGCCTTAATAAGTCCTTGGAAAATTTTATTGGTTATTTTGTTAACAAGTCTTTCTCCATCTACCAATATTCATTGTTCTAACAATTAATCAACAGATAGACTGTATAGCACAAAAGCCACACCAGTGGTTTCTCATCCCAAAACAGAAACCGAACATTCCCATGTTTAATATACTGCTGTTCCTTAAACAAACTCACACGGAGACCTACCATATTTGAAGTCTGTGAGGTTAATAATAATAATGGCAATAAATAGTGAATCCCTCTGGAAAGTTTCTCTGTTCCAGGCTCTATTCTAAACACTCTTTCACAGGTATAATCTCATTTAATCCTCACGGCAACTCTATGAGTCAAGTGCTAATATTAACCCCACTACACCGGTAAGGACACTGAGGCCCAGAAATGTTAGTAACTTTCCCAAAGTTACACAGCTAGTGAGATGCAGAGCCAGGATTCTTGTCTATGGAGCCTGGTGCTGGAGTCTCCTTCTGTAATCAAGCAATTGAACACAGGCCATCCTGTATTCTTAGGATAGAGGCTTGCTTAGAACAATCCCTCTCTTCTAGATAATCTGAAAACTGGAAGGGACCTCAAAGTCTAGGTTGTAAGATGTGAAACACAGGCGCACTCTCTTATTTCCTCTGGAAATAAGATGACAAAGTTGCCCCAGAGGAAAGCCGAGGGGCAGATCAGGTGATGAGACTGCTAAATGAACTCGTGTTTGGGCAGGCGGTGTGGCGCAGTGAGATTGCTATGGAAAAGATGTTCTTACCGCAAGTGGCAAAGGTTCATTGCTGTCATTGAATCTATGGTCAAAAACAATTCCTGTCAATATGTAGAAAGCTTTGGGATCCTTAATTATGTAACTTTCAAACAAAGGCACTGAAGAATAGCCTAGAACTAGAGAGCGAAAAATCCAATCAGTGAGTGGCTGGTGTGAAGGCAAAGGCCGCCCAAGTACCACCCCCCCCCCAAGACTGAGGTAAGATTGCCAATTGCCAGCTTAATTCTCCATTCACTCATTCATTCTGTAAACAAAGAGCAGAGAGATAAAAGGACAGAGATTAAGGACAAGAGGTTAAGAGACATGACTCCTGTTATTCAATTCAGAACTTTAACTGGGAAGTCTGTAGTCCCAGGAGCTGCTAGCAACTGTCTTGGAACATCAAAGAAGTAATGCTTTGGAAGGAAGAGAGAGGATTTAAATCCAGATCACAGAATTTGAGACCTGGATCAAGCCTCATGGTTTGTTTTTTGTTAAAAAACGAGCTTTGTTCTCATAGGAAGTTTAAGTTTAGTTTCACCTTTTCAAGCCTTGTTTTTAACCTGAGTTTTACATGTTGTTTTATTTTTCATTTCTAGAAGTCCTATTTGCTTCTTTCCTCCCACCCTCAAATCTGCTAGGTGGCTCTTTAGAGTGATATGCTACCTATAAATACTTTCAGGTTGTCTTTTATTTCTTCAAACCAAGTTAGTGATTTTAAATGTGAGACTGATCATTCCATCATCTGAACTCTTCCTACTTCTGTTTTTGCTGTCTCTTGTTAACACTTATTGTCTCCCTTGGTGGCTCGTTTTCTAGTGTGTTCGTGCAATGACCTTGATATATTTGCGGTGGGTCTTCTTTGAGATGCAGAATGCAGATATGTTCCTCCAGAAAAGATTCACATTTGCACCCATCAGTCTGATTCCTACTTCAAAGTTTGAGGAGTATTCTTTTTACTTTTCTTTTTTCTTTTTTGACAACAAGGTGATATGAATTTACGCTACAAATCTCAGGGCTGGGCCCCTCCCTACTCTGCTCAGTTCCAAAGCAATAGATAGTCCTTGCAGTCCCTTAGGGATGGGAGTGGGGCATGTTTACTTCCAGCTCAACCTTACACTAAGGATCCAGGCATTTGGGGCCCCAGACTTATGGGGAGGTAGTCTCCTCCTAGATACCTCACTTTAAACAGGCCTTAACTTTTTCTTCTTTCCCTCTGTGCCTTACAAGGCTATAAAAATTACAGTTCAGTTTCCCATAGTATGATGTATGTTTCATCAAAAACAGTTTAGGGCCTTCACTAACTTCTTTGGGTTCTTTCCTTCACCTTGATTTTTTTAACTTAGGAAATTATCTAATAATCTAGAAACACATTCATGATATACTAAAGAGAAGGCAGACAACAAAATAGTTCACACGGTAGGATCCTACTTTTTGTTTATTTACATATTTACAAAAAGGGCAGGTGTACCCCAAGATATTAAATAATGAGTGGATTTTCTTTTTTCCTGTATGTATATTTTTGTTATTTTTTTTCCATAGCTTTATTTAGGTTTCTTTTTAAATAGACACACACACACACACACAGTTAAACTGTGAAAAATAACACACACATAGGAAGGTACACAAACCACAAATGCTCAGTTTAATGCATGTTTATAAATGAATACCCAGTAACCATCCCTTGGATCAAAAAAGAAAATGTTTTTACCTTAGATTTTTTTGTCTAGACAGTTCTTTACCATCTACTTAGTTCTTTTATGCTTCCAAGACCATATTTTTAATATTTTATTCAGCATTTGTTTTTCAACTAGAAGGTTGATCCAAATAACCTAGTCTGCCGTATTACCAGAAATGGAACAGCAATAATGTCTTTCTCAAAAATTTCCAGGAAAAGTCTTTCTGTTTTTCATTGACCCTTACTAAATGTCCTCCCTAGACAGATCACTGTAGCAAGGGGACTGCTAAGTGCAAACTGGCTTAGACATAGGTTACATGGTTCATCCTGAGCCCAGGCTGGAGTCAACACCACCAGAAATACATAGGCTGAGAGTGGGAGAGGGATCAGTCCCGCAGGGAGAAACAGGCTGTGTGTATCAAAAGCGGGAAGAAGAAACAAAGCAGATGTCCACCACAGTTTAGAAAGGATCATCAAACTTATTTGTTGTTGGGCCGGCCTGGTGGCGCACTGCTACAGTGCGCTGCTTGGGAGCGTGGCGGCGCTCCGGCCGAGGGTTCGGATCCCACATGCAGACCGGCTGCTCGCTGGCTGAGCGAGGTGCGGGCACGGCACCGAGGGTTGCGATCCCGTTGCCGGTCCCAGCCGGACACGAAAAAAGACAAAAAGGAAAAAAAAAAAAAAAAACTTATTTGTTGTTACTTCTAGGGTAGAGGATTTGCTTACAGGATGGCATGAGGAGGGAAATTTACTTTTTACTCTTAGTCTTTTTATGTTGTTTGGAATTTTCAATGCAAAGAATGTCTGTATTTATTGTAAATTTCAAGGTTTTTTTTTTTTTTTTTTTTTTTCCGTGACCGGTAAGGGGATCGCAACCCTTGGCTTGGTGTCACCCGCACCATGCTCTGCCAGTGAGCACACAGGCCAGTCCTATATAGGACCCAAACCCGTGGCGGAAGCGCTGCTGCGCTCCCAGCACTGCACTCACTGGAGTGCGCCATGGAGCCGGCCCTTTTTTTTTTTTTTTTTGAATTTTCAATTCCAGAAAAATACATCCCAGTCTGTTAAAGAATTATTCTGGGAAGTGAGTTTTGGAATGGGAACTTTTAACTTTTTACCTTAAGCACGGTGTTGTTTAATGTATCACTTTTGTAATAAGGAGAGAGGAAGGAGAGGAAGGTGGAGAGATGCTAAGAGGACAAGAAATGAGCAAAGATGGTTGAAATGGAGATGGCAGGAAGGCAGTAATAGAAGATGACACTATCCAAAAATTCAAAGAAGAGAATTCCAAGGAGGAAGTAGGTAAAAGCATCCCAGTTACAATGAGGACACACAGAATGAAAACTGGAGAGAAAACACTAAATTTGGCAATCAGCAAGACACTAATGACATTTTCCTAGCAGGTATCAGTATAGTACTGAGGGCAGAATACAGATTATGGTGAGTTATGAAATTAGTGGAAAGTAATAAAATAGAAGTGAACTTTCAAGACATTTATCAGAGGAAAAAACACAAATTGCCTGAGAAAGGATCTTAAAGGAAGACAGAACAGGAAATGTTTTCTTTTCTTTGTCTTTTTTTTTTTTTTTGTCTTTTTCGTGACCGGTAAGGGGATCGCAACCCTTGGTGTGGTGTCGTCCACACCGTGCTCAGCCAGTGAGCACACCGGCCATTCCTATATAGGATCCGAACCCGCGGCAGGAGCGTTGCTGCACTCCCAGCCCCACACTCTCCCGAGTGCGCCATGGGGTCGGCCCGGAAATGTTTTCTTTTAAAGTGAGGTGACTGATGCTTATTTGAAAGTGAGGGGAAAATCTGGCCCAGTTGGAAATATTTCTCCAGAGGGTGGAGGTACTGGTGGAGAAAGACCCAAAAGCAGCAGCAGGTCTTGTGACTGATCACTTCTAACTACAAAATTTATCTTGAATTCAACATCTCTCTAGATCAAGCCATCATTATCTTCTTCCTCCTGAATTTCTGCAAATACTGCCCCCTTCCAATCACACTTCCAGAGAACAGCCAGAGAAATCTCTTTTAAAACACATTATATCGCATAACTTCTCTTCTCAAAACCCCTCAAGGGCTGCCCTTTGCATGTAGAAGAAAACCCAAGCACTTCCACTCAGACTGCAAGGCCCTGAATCACATGGTTTCTACAGCTTTCCAAACCTCATCTCACCACTCTCTCCACGTACTTTAGCCTGGCCTGCTGACTTTCAGACCTTCACAGACTGAAGTACTTACTCCCTCAAGGCCTTGCTACTTGCTGCTGCCTGATAGCCCCTTACTCCTGAAACCCATTTCCCCCCCATTTCACAAGGCTCGTTCTTGACCAATTGTGTCTTCGCTACCTCATCCGCTCCCCAGAGATTTCTTCTTGTTTTTTAAAAAATTTCATAATATCATGTTTATAAGGTTACTGAATTAGAATATTTATTTTAGGATACTAGGCAATCAAAAAGTACAACTTTCAAAACAACGTTTCCCACACTTTTTACCACTGAGGGCCTTTAAAAGAATTGTTCCCTCTGAGTGGTGCTAGAGCTAGGAGAGAGGAACCTTCTTTCCACATTATACCCTATGTATTATTAGAATACTTTTACAATAGCACAGACAGCAATTATAGTAACTTTGAAAAGAATCCTTCGGCTCCACATTTTGAAAAGTTTTATCCACCTAACTGAATTAATTTGTTCAATAAATATTCGTATTTATGGAACACCTACTATGTACCAGTCACTGTAACAGGCACAGTGATGAACAAAACAGACATGGCCCTCTGCCCTCGTGGAGGTGGAGTCTAGTGGAGAAAGGCAGACAATACACAGAAAGAAAGTGAATATGTAAATAAACATTTATAAAAATGCTAAGAAGGTACCAAACAGGATTCTGTGAGAGAGAATAAGGCAGAGATGAGAAGCCTAGAACTTACTGAGCTGTCTTCCTAAGCTCATTTCAGCTGAAACCTTAAGGAGAAGAGGGAGCAACATACAGGAAGAGCTGGGGGCAAAGCATTCTGTAAAAGAATAGCCATGCAAACGCCCTGACGGAGGAGAGCTTCACATGTTCCATGAGCTAAAAGGGGACCAACGTGACCAGAGTGTGGGAGAAAAAGGGAGAGTGGACTGGAGAGAAAAGCAGGGTCAGATCCTGGAGAAGAGTCTAGTTTACTCCCAGTGCAATGGAAAGCCATTGAGAGAGCTTCAGCAGAAGAATGGCCGAAGCCTACTGACCTTTCGAAGATCTTTCTGCCTCCAAGTGGAGTCTGGATTAGAATGGGACCAGAGGAGAGGCAGAGAGACTAAGAAGGCTATTTCAGAATCTCTGAATGCTTTCTATTTTTTATTATTCTGAGACATATAATAATTGCCAATCAGGGGCTGGCCCCATGGCTCACTTGGGAGAGTGCGACGCTGGTAGCACCGAGGCCACGGGTTCGGATCCTATATAGGGATGGCCAGTGCACTCACTGGCTGAGTGTGGTGCGGACAACACCGTGCCGAGGGTTGCGATCCCCTTACCAGTCAGGAAAAAAAAAAAATTGCCAATCAGACCTTCTGATTAATATGAGATAACAGGTGTCACAGTAGTGAGCTAAAAACAAATAGTTAACATTTTAATTAGCCTTGAAGCCTTGTGACATAAATATACAAGTCTCCAGTGTGTTGTTTGAAATAATAAAAATACCTCAAGGACAACTTCCCCCCAAATACTACCTCTCTGTATCTTTAGAATTTGGAGACCCCAGATTTGGAATCACTACTGTAAGAATACTCAGGAAAATCTTCAAAATATACTTTATAAAAACACCCACCCTATCCTTACCCCATCTTTATGTCTAACCTTCAAACTCAACATCAAAGGTTTGTTCCACCATTTCAGTGATAGCCTTCAAAGTTTCACTTTTGGAAGGGATATAAACTAGTTGAAATTTATTTTTCAGAGGAAAATTATGGAAGAAGTCTGGCAGCAAACTGATATCAACTGCATGGTAGTTAGTAGAAGGTCTTTTTCTTGGCACACTATTGAAACGAAGATACAATACAATTGCAGAAAATAGTAACGGCATCAAAATGTCAAGGACTGTTACCAGAGTCTTCCGCTTCTAAAATAAAAACAAAAGCTATGCATTAACCTAAAACAGAACAAAAGCATAAGTCGCTATGTGGTGAATGTTCTTCCATTAAGAATGCTTTCATTTTTTCCAGCCTCCCTGCACAACACATGAAAAAGAAAAAACAGAATGAGAATTAGCTAGAAACTTCTCCTTTTAGCTTTTCTGTAACACCAATGGCTAGAATCAGTAACAATGATGTCATCTTTAATAATTAGGGTTAATAGAATTACTACATGACTCGTTTGCAGAAAAGGACCCCTTTACAAGTAAAATTCTTAATTTTTTTAAACACATTATTAGAAACCAATTTAACTTAAACATTCAGTCCCTCCAAGGACTTATTTTCCCTACAGATAACTGTACCTACCTTTAAGATGAAATTCTTCCAGAGAAGAAGTATTAACTTCCTGAACACTGCCATTTTTCTATCTGATGAGTAGGGCTCACCTCTAGTCAGGAAAGAGATGGGGAAATGTTATGCATAATACAAAAATGTTAAGAGTTCCTCTTCCATCCTTGAAAAACTCTCCTCTCTTGAGCTTTCAGAACCTTATGCTGGACTTCTCCTCCTACCTTCCTAGCAGTTCCTCCTCAGTTTTTTTGCTGATTCTTCTTTCTCTCCCCAACCTCTAAATATTAAATGCTCGAGGGCTCAGTCTATGGACTCCTCTCTTCCAGTGACACCCACTCCTTGGGTGATCTCACTCAGCTCTTGGGTTTGAAATCATCTATAGGCAAATGATTTCTAAATTTATATCTCCAGCCTGGACCTTGCCTCTTACTATAGACCCAAATATCCAATTGCTTGCTTGACATCTCCGTGTGTCATCTCAAACTTCGGCTATTCATATTCCTCTTAAAACAGATTGTCCTACGGTCTTCCACACCTCAGTTAATGTCAGTTCCATCCTTTGAGTTATACAGGATTATTCTTCACTTTTCTCTCTTTCACAGCTTCAATCCAGCAGCAAATCCTAATGGCTCTACCTTCAAAATATAGCCAGAATTTAACCCCTTTTACCACCCCTATATTTATCATCCCTTACCTGGATTTCTGCAATAACTTCTGCAGTCATGTCACTGCATCTTCCCTTGCTGCTTGTAATCCACTTTCCACGCAGGAACAAGAGTGACCCTGCTTAAGTCAGATCTTTCCCACTGCTCTGCTCAAAACTCTCTAATGGTTCCCATCTCGCTCTGAGCAAAAGCCCAGTCCTACAATGACCTACAAAGTTCTGTGGGCTGTAGTTCCTGTTGGCTCTCTCATCTCATTTCATCTCATCTTCTACTTTGTTCCCCCTCCTTCTCCCTGCTCCTGGGCAACAGGCCTAGCTGCTATTCCTAGAACACACCAAACACACTTCTGCCTCAAACCTTGTGTTTCGGGCCGAGGCCATGGCACACTCGGGAGAGTGCAGCACTGGGAGCGCAGCAGCGGTCCCGCCCCCGCCGCGGGTTCGGATCCTATATAGGGATGACCGGTGCGCTGCGCTCACTGGCTGAGCACGGTGCGGCCGGTCACAAAAAAGACAAAAAAAAAAAAAAAAACTTGTGTTTCCCTGCCAATCACACACTTCCCTCATGGACCAACATGTCTAGCTCCCCAACTTCCTTCAGACCTTTATTTATAAGTCACTTTCTCAGTGAGGCCTTTCTTGACCATCCTACACCAAATCTCAACATTTCATATCAACTTTCCATGTTTAGTTTTCTTCTTAGCACTTATAAACTATTTAACATGCTGTTCATTTACTTACTTAATTTGACTTTCCTTCTAGAATGTATGTTCCATGAAGGCAGAGATTTTTTCATCTTTTTTTTTTAACCACTGAATCCTCAGATACAAGAGCAGAGCCAGCACATGGCAAATATTCATGATACTCATAATTTTGAATGAATGAATAAACACATACATACATATATACAAAAATACATAAATTAAAAGGTATGCAGTCTTTGTAGGAATATAGTTGGAGCAGAAATGACTGTGAGGAAGGAAAAATACTTTGGATGGCAGAAATTTTCTTCTCTTTTCGATCTGTTTCCCAAGTGTAATATATACTTTAATTTTTAGATACTACTCTCATAATAAAAATGAGATTTTCATTCCAGAAACCATCTTTCCAGTGGGGAAAGAAAAATGTGTACATATTTCCTCAGGCGAAAGCACCCCTGACCTTGTACATTGGAAATTAAAGAAACAGAACTCATAAATATGGGGGAAATATGACTATAATTCCTAGAAAGTCCTCATTCTTGGCTGTGTTATATCTGTTGTCTCTTATGTACTTTCTACAATGCTACTTCCTTAAAGACAGGGACACGGTCTCTTTCTCATGAACATGTGAATTTTGTGAACAGCATCTTCAGTAGTGAATGCAGAGTAACATTACAAAAGATGGTGGAGTATGAAGTTTCGGAAATCGGTCCCTTCACTGAAACACCTATTGAGGTTGCATAAACTGTCCGAAACAACTATTTTGGATATCTGGAGTCTAATTAAACACTTGAAGCATCTAGGAGAATGCTTGATGAAGAAAGAGGCTAGTAAATTTCAGTGAATTCAAGCATTTTGTTTAGTTGCTACCAGCCCCCAACTCCTGTGTGCCCCCCAAATTCCTATGTTGAAGCTCTCACCCCCAGTACCTGAGAATGTGACTGATAGAGTTTGGATGTGTTGTCCCCGCCAAAACTCATGTGGAAATTTGATCTCCAATGTGGCAGTGTTGGAAACTGATTGAGTCATGGGGGCGGATCCCTCATGAATGGATTAATGCTCTCCCTGGGGGAGGGGGGTATTAATGAGTGAGTTCTCACTCTATTAGTTCCCGTGAGAGCTCGTTGCTTAAAAAGACACTGGCACCTCCTTTCTCTCTCTCTCTCTCTTGCTTCCTCTCGCCATGTGATCTGCTTGTACCCGTGGGCTGCTGCCACTTTCCGCCATTAGTAGAAGGAGCCTGAGGCCCACGCCAGATGCAGCTGTCCCAGAATCATAAGCCAAATAAACCTCTTTCCTTTATAAATTACCCAGTCTCGGGTATTTCTGTTATAGCAACACAAAACGGACTAAAACAGTGACTGTATTTGGAGATAGAACCTATAAAGAGGTGATTAAGTTAAAATGAGGCTGTTAGGGTGGGCTCTAATCCAATCTGACTGGTGTCCTTATAAGAAGAGGAAATTTGGACACACAGAGACACCAGGGATGTGTGAGCACAGAAAAAATACCATGTGAGGACCCAGCAAGAAGGTGGCCATCTGCAAGGCACGTAGAGAGGCCTCAGAAGAAACCAGACCCGCTCGCACCTTGATGGCATACTTCTAGCCTCCAGAAATTTCTGTTGTTAAAGACATGCAGTCTGTGGTATTTTGCTATGATAGCCTAAGAACACTAATGTAGGTCTGCTCCATGTGTCTCCTCTTTCCCCCTTGGACCAGCCACTAGCTGTTGTTCTGACAGCAAGAGGCCAAGGCTAACCACACAAATATGTTTAAAACTTGTACTCACACGACACCTGCTAACCATTCCACTGGCCAGAGAAAATCACGCAGCTGAGCCCAGTACCAATGTGACAAGGAAATAAACTGACTACTGTAGTGGAAGGCACTGCAAAGCCACATGGCAAAGGGCGTGGATGTAAAATTTAATGTAAGGAAAGACTGAAGAACTGGGAATGATATCCATCTACCTGAACACTCAACATTTAATTCTTTAAGCACTGGTGTTGTGAAATTGCCAACCTTAACCCTCACCATCTAGATGAGGAAGTATTGTGATTCATTACTGGCCCAACATGGACAAAAAAAATTAGAAACCAAAAACAATGAGAATACATGGTTTTCTCCAACCACAGTTACCATTCAGTGGAATTGGACAGGAAAAAATAAGTAGAAGGAGATTTTCATACTAAGCATCTTTTAAAATTTATAATATAGATGGGATGCTCCTTATTTATTTATCTACATTTTTTTTGGTTTTTTGGTGGCTGGCGGGTAGAGGGGTCAAACCCTGGACCTTCGTGTTATCAGCACAATGCTCTAACCAACTGGGCTAAGTGGCCAGCCTCAAAAGAATGTTTATTTAGAAATTTGTGTGAAAGTTGGTTATAAAAATTGGGTCATACTTAACACCAAGGTCAAGGGTTCAGATCCCCTCCCCAGCCAGCCATCAAAAAAAAAAGGGGGGGGGGTTCATTTTTGTCATACCCAAACTACATCAGAATTGAGGATCCAGGAGAAAAAAGCATTCGGGGCACATAGCACCAGCTCCAAGAATTTCCTACAAGCTCAGCTGCTGAGATGGCCTACTATAACCCTAAGACTAGCTTTACCTAGTAGCTGCTGAAATGACCTGCCATGACTCTAAGACTAATTTTACCTACCACCGTCGCTCACCAATCAGAGCTTGCCAGCTCCATAAAACTTTTCTAGCACCAATGAGTTTTCTTTCAAAATAATACGTAACATTTCTCTTTCTAAAACCCCCAACCTTTTCCTTGTTCTTCAGACATACTAGAGACCACCCTGGTCTGTGTGTATGCCCCAAATTGCAGTTCAATTTTCCCAAATAAAACGTTTTCTTTAAAGATTTGTATCTATATTTTTATTTGACTTTGACCCTTGTACATACAATAATGTATTAATGCAGCAATTACATATTGAAGGTATTGTGTCCAGCAAAATGCTATCATAAAAAGATTGATCAGTAATGGATTTCATCTTCATGGAACTCAGCATTTGAAAATAAGCCTAGTATGGGAAAATAATATATACAAAGGAAAATACTGTAGTACAAGGTAGAAAGTAATGAGAATCAGAAGAGATTCACTTAAGGATAGACAAACTGACCAATGAAACAATAAAAATCCAAAAAGAGACCACAATTATACAGTCACCTGATTTATGACAAAGCTGACATTGCAGGACATAAGGAAGCAAGGTCCTTTCAATAAATGGCTCTGGGTCAATTGAGTACCCATGTGGAAAAGAATGTATATTGACTCCTGCATCCCACCATACACAAGATATCAATTTCAGACAAAATGCAGATCTACATGCGAAAGGTAAAACAATGAAACTTTTAGGAAAAAAATAGTAAAACATCTTCATAACCTTGAAGTGAGCAAATATTTCTTAAACATGACTCCAAACCACTAAACATAATGGAAAAAATTGATCCTTGAATTATATCAAAATCAAGAATTTTAGTTACACAAAAAACACCAATAAAAGAAAAAATGCAATACAGAGTGGACAAAGATATTTACAATACATACAAGGGTACTTCAAAAAGTTCATGGAAAAATAGAATTGAAAGATAATATGAACATTTCCACGAACTTTTTGAAGTGTTCTCTTATATCTGAGAAAAGACTTATATCTAGAATATTTAAAGAGCTCCTAGAAATCTTTAAGAAAACG